TGTAATAATTGGTATTGTTACCTACCACTAATTCTAGTGGTACCGATAATGGTGTCCTGTTACGTCATTGTAGTTGTTACCACCACAACCCTGGGATCTTGTATTTCTGTGCATCTGTGGTCACCACTACGGTATCATTATTTTTTAATGTTTATTTATTTTTGAGAGAGAGAAAGAGAGAGGGAGTGTGTGTGTGTGAGCTGGGGAGGGGCAGAGAGAGAGGGAGACAGAATCTGAAGCAGGCTGTGCTGACAGCTCAGAGCCTGACGTGTGGCTTGAACCCACAAACCCCTGAGATCATGACCTGAGCCAAAGTCGAAGATTTAACCAACTGAGCCACCCAGGTGGCCCCTTATGGCATCTTTATTTCCACCTCTTCTCTCTTCAGATTCTGGTGTCCTCGTGATCTTTCCATTGACCCCTTCTTTGAACCCATTAGTATAAATGGAGAATAGAAGACAACTCACATATATAGTATATTTTCTCTATGCCTAACACTATATATGACGTGAGGTAGACAATATTATCATCATTATTTCTCAGATAAGAAAAGCAAAATACAAAGATATTTATTAACTTCTTTTAAAGTCGTTTGTCTAGTAACTCTTGGGTCCTGGTTGAAAATCAGTCCCTCTCTCTTTAAGATGTAAAGATGTACAGTAATACACGACTCTATTAGTGTAGTTTCAGGTGTCTCTGAGTTGGATAGAAAAGTGGATTTCCGATTTATGCTCTGTATGGAGCCACTGAATCACGGCACAAAAATAGTCACACACTTCTGAGAGCATATTAATACTTTAGCTCCTTTGGGGGCTTTTAATTAATGTAATAATGATGCCAATACAAAATGCAATTGACTCTGGTAGCTTTTGTCTTGCATTAATTATTAAACACGCTTGGTATTTTCCAAGATATTATGTACTCTCTTTCCTTAGGAGTATCTAGTACAGTGCTTTCAGTCCTGGAGGCTTATTGAAGAAAGCATGGCATCCAAATGAAATCAATATAATCATAGCCCAGTCTTAACAAAAAACTTAAACAAAACATAGCAGAGTATGCCACAAAATAAGATATCAGACTGCAGTACACAATATAGATGAGCATGATTTTATGAAAATATTGTATTGGTATATTTTGTATTGAGATCGATAGGTGTATCTATGTATGTATGTATGTATGTATGTATGTATCTATCTATCTATCTTAGAAAGAGAGAGAGATATTCCTAGTACAACAAAGCAACCACAAATTGGGTGGTATTGGCACAGCCATGTTCTCTCTAAAGGCTTCAGAGGAAAACTCTCTTGCCTCTTCCTGGCTTCTGGTGTTTGCTGGAATTCTTGGTTGTTGTTGACTTATAGCTGTATAGTCCCAGTCTCTGTCCCTGTCTCACATGACCTTCTTCTCCCGTTCTGTGTGTCTATCTCCTCTCTGTTTATAAGGACACCAGTCATATAGATTAAGGGCCCAGTCTAATCTAGTATGACCTCATCTTGACCTATTACATCTGTAAGAGCCCTATTTCCAAACCAGGTCACATTCTGAAATTCTAGGTGAACATGAATTTAAGGGGAATACTATTCATCCCAACAAAATATATATTTATGTGTGCATGTGTGTGTGTATGCATGTTTGTGTGTGTATGCATGTGTGCACGTGCACGCACGTGTTCACTTACTGGACCAATTTAAAAGATGTATTTCTTGCTGTGGGTCATGATCACAAATATGAAATTTTCTGATTCTAGTTGAAGGGTATATGGCTTCTCCTTATCACAATGCTGGCCAGCCACCAGAATACATACTAAACCGGTAAGTCTTAAGAGGAGGCACAGCAGAGAACTGAGATGTGTGCAACCTAGAAAAAGCAATCAAGAAAACACCCACTCTCACTCTTATTTGACAATAGATGTGCAGTTGTCTGGATGAGTGAGTGGAGCTCATCACAAAAATTTGGAATCAGACAAGGTTTTAAATTACTTTAATGATGGGTCTTTACTATGTGTTGGTGAACTTCATGAATAGTAATTATTTTGCAGCCACTCTAGGGATCCTAAGCTGGGTTTGAGCTAGTAACCATGAAGCGAGTTTCCTGAGCGTACTGATAATGCTTCAAGGAATTCAAGGAACAACTTAGCCATCACGTGGAAAGAAGAGACTTCAACTATATACTATTATGAAACCCACATAGCTAAGGACTAGAAATTCACTGTAAAACATAAGTTTCAAGCATTCAATGAACAACCCACGTATTTCTTTTTTTAAGATCTATTTCACATATCAAGTTTTCCTCAGCTAAAACAACTTCCAATACATTGCTGATAAAGTTAGAAATTAATTGGGGAAGAGATGAAGGAAATATAGCAAAATGGTGACACTAAATTTTGGTGACTTGAACGTGGACACGACTCATAATATTCTGTACATTTTCTTGTAGTTAAAAGCATTTGTTTCTTACTTTTCTTAAGAAATCGGTTGTGCCAAACAGTGTTACTGTGTGTATTCGGGTCTTGAAGACTCAAGGGGTGGCCACCAGTTTCCATTTCAGAGCCCCTGACTCCCTTCTATGGACACTTGTACAAGCTCTTCCTGACCTGTTCTCTTGCTCTTGAATGCCACACAGTCTTCAATCTCACCAGAAGACTTAGCCCTTAGTGTTGGATGGCTTCCAGGTTGATTTCTGGATTTTCTTCTCCAGCCATTCCTCAGTCACTCTGGTTAGTCTCCGTGGCCTCGGGATGCCTTCAGAACCATCTCTTTGGACCAGGCAGTCTCACAAGAGCTCTTCACAATAACACCACCTTCTAGAGAAAGTACGGCTCCTGGAGGCTAACTCAGCTCTGGGGGAGGGGCAGGGCACAGTGGTGTGCAATTGCGAGTAGCCTACCCACGTGGGGCCTGGAGCCTGGGAGTGTCTGAAGGATCAGCTTTCCTGAATGACAGTGGTCTTCAAACTCCATTTTGTTCCACATCCTAAAAACCTTTTGTGTTTACATAACGATTTTGTAAAACTATGTATTTCTTCACAGATTTTCAACCTCATTCTAGGTGTGCTTGCTATTAAAAGGTTTAAGAGCTGCACAGAATATAATTTCCAGTTTGCAGTAAATATTGATACTTTTGTTAAAACTGCTATGTCACTCTTTAAAAAGTAGCCAATGGAATGTAAATACCGGAATGGTTTGATACCCACAAGTATCTGTTTTTAAAACATCTGAACAAGAAGTTCCTTTTAGCAGTTAGAAATTTTAGTTTGTTCCTTGCTAACTCCATTCTACCTCCTCCACATAAATTTATCCAAATGTAATATCATTCTAAGCTTGAAAGTCTTTTATAGATCACCATATTATCTTATTTACAACACAAATATGTGTATAAATGGAATATTTTTTTACTTTTTGAGCCCACAATGCTCTAAATGTTAAAATTTTCTGTCACTGTAGTTACTAGTACAATTGATCAAAACATCAATATGCTGACACCTTTGATAGATAATTATTAAACATAAAAAATTTTTACTAGAAATATATCTCAGTAAAATGAATGAGGCTGCATTTAAAAAATTAGTTCAGGGGCACCTGGGTGGCCCAGCTGGTTAAGCTTCTGACTTTGGCTCATGTCATGATCTCGTGGTTCCGTGAGTTCAAGCCCCACATCGAGCTCTGAGTTGATGACTCAGAGCCTGGAACCTGCTTCAGATTCTGTGTGTGTGTGTCTCTCTCTCTGTCTCTCTCCCACTCATGCTCTATCTCTCTCTCTCTCTCAAAAATAAACATTAACAAAATAAATTAAATAAAATAAAAATTAGTTCATATATCCAGCCATGAATATTATTATTACTGGTATGAGAAAGATTTGGTATTTTTCTTTTCCTATTTTTCATTTTTGTAAATGTAAGGACTACAAAATCATGTTCAGAAATAAGTATCTGGGGATAGAAAAGATTCTGCTGAAACAAAGTCACTTAACCCTTTGAATTCGTTCTAAGTTTTATGTCAAAAATCACCTACTGATTTGTCATTAAATCATTTTTCATGTTCTATCAATGACAACTTAATTAGGCTTGCCTTCAATTTTGTTGTAAGAAAAGAATTGAAAACCACTTGGCTTGCAACCAAATTTTTTATCCAGTTGTTAGCTCTTTCACCAAGAAAGCTTTTCCAAGACTTATCAAATGACTATTAATTATATATGTTCCTTCTGACTTGGAGGTATTTTCTAAAATAAGATATATTCAAAAGGACTGGAAACATTAAACTTCTTTATTTCAATAGTATATCTTTGCATAGTCATTCATAATTAACAATAATAAAATTATTTTAGTCTTATCATATTTAAATATATTTTTATCAAAACTTTGATAAGCTAAAGAAACAGATTTAACTCCCTGAATTTGTGGGAGACGTTCACCATCTAATGAATTGTCAAAATCAGTCACATTGCACACAATCTCTTTCTTCAGAAAAACTGACTTCAGTTGTCAATTTGAGTAAATGTAGTAATACAGATTTTAAGGAATATCATGAAAATTCTTGAGAAATAAATTCCAGGGGCGCCTGGGTGGCTCAGTCGGTTAAGCCTCTGACTTCGGCTTGGGTCATGATCTCACAGTTTGTGGGTTCAAGCCCCGTGTCAGGCTCTGTGCTGACAGCTAGCTCAGAGCCTAGAGCCTGCTTCAGATTCTGTGTCTCCCTCTCTGACCCTCCCCTGCTCACGCTGTCTCTCTCTCTCTCTCTCTCTCTCTCAGAAATAAATAAAAAATAATAATAATTTTAAAAAATAATAAAATAAAATAAAAATAGAAATAAATTCCAAAGTCCATCTTATAAAATAGATTGCTAAAAATTAACGAGATTAAAACTGTGGAGTGGTAATAGAATTAATTTCTCATTTTTACAACAAATTATAAAACAAGAAAATAATGCATTTCTCATGACAAATCTGTAATTAAGTGATGGGATATGAAATTCTAGGTCAGTAGATGTATGTCTTCCTCTTTAGAGTGGGAGAAGGACTTCTGGGATAGGCGATGTCAGCATGAAGAACCCTGAAGAACATGCCAGCCAGTTCTCAGGAAGATCAATTTCAATGAAGAGTATTCTTAGGAGGCAAGACCCTGGATATTGATTCCTGTAAAACTATCTAAGCTCCTATGCCCCTTGGAAAGTCTTCTACACCCAGGAGCACCCCAGTTTGAAGACTACGGCTATTCAGAACCAAATAATCCATCTGATTTGACACCTAAAGGAACCAGGTGTATAATCAGTAACAGTTATTACGCTGGAGAGAAAGGCCAACTGGTATGTATAGGCTCATTATCATCCATCATGCTTTTTCATGATTTTGTTTTTTTTTTTTTAGTGTTTTATTTATTTCTAGGAGAGAGAGAGACAGCGTGAGCAGGGTAGGGTGAGAGAGAGAGGGAGTCACAGACTGAAACAGGCTCCAGGCTCCGAGCTGGCAGTCAGCACAGAGCCCGACGCGGGGCCCGAACCCACGAACCGCGAGATCATGACCTAAGCGAAAGTTGGACGCTTAACCGACTAAGCCACCCAGGCGCCCCAGCTTTTTCACGATTTTGAGACATCAGCTGAATATCACAGCTGGATGACTCACGGTCACCTCAAACACAGCACATGCCTAACTGACCTCATTGTCTCTCCACCCAGGCCTGCTACTCATCCTGCCTTGCCTGTGTCAGAGCATGAAGCCAATATCCACCTCATCACCCATGGAAGATGCTTCTGGTGTTCGCTCACTATGTATTTTTCACTAACAGAACCACTGTTTGGTTCAGAAAGGAAATATACCCAGTTTTAGAACTAAAGGCAGCTGTCCAAACTAGTTCTGGCTAATACCTATTATAAACAGGGATGGGGGGCACGTGGGTGGCTCAGGCAGTCAAGCATCCAATTTCCACTCAGGTCATGATCTCCTGGTGGTTGTGAGTTTAAGCCTTGCATCCGGCTCTCTGCTGTCAGTGTAGAACCTGCTTTGGATCCTCTGTCTCCTTTTCTCTCTACCCCTCCCTTGCTCTTCGAGCTCTCTCTCAAAAATAAACAAACATTAAAAACATAAACACAGGGTTGGGACATCCGAGAAAGCTCTTTTTCAAAGGGTAGACTCAGTCTTTTGTCCTTCACCCTTCTTCATCCAGCCTGGTCCAACCGATGTGATGTTCGAAGTAGTCCATGCTTCTTACAGTAACAATGTGATGATAATGTGAGGATGGAGGCTCATGCTAACGTAGGCTGAGTAGAAAGCTAGAAGGAGCCTTGACCGCACCCACATCACAGCCTATGGAACAGCGGTAGATGGCACAGCCAGCTTCTTAGCTCAACAGCAATCCTGGCATCCACCCAAGCCAGAAACCTGGATGATAATTGAATACTAACGATGAGAATTGTTCATTTAATCATCATAACACACATAATACGTCATGCCTTATGTGTTGATCATGCACTTGGACTTGAGAAGAAATAGTGATGCCTAAATTTATGTTTGACCATATTAAAATAAGCACTGAGTCCGAAACATCTGACCAATCTTTTTTTCCCTATAATATGTGGTGATTGGTAACTATTTTTAAAGGCCCTTTGTACAATGCTAGAAACCCTGATACGATATACACATAAAGAAAGATTAGACTTGGGAATCTATTTCCCTATTGTTGGGAGCATTTATTTTTCATTATCATATAACTAATTTAATTGAAAACAGCAGCTAGACACCATGCTCTAGGAATGTGGTGTAAAATATAGAGTAAAGCCCTCCCCTCTACCCCTCAGGACACACTGTGAAACTGTCTGATGAAAGGGTTCACCCTTACTGTTTTACACAGAATGTCCCGTTCTACCTTCTTGTCCCCAAAGATAGCTATGGTTCAGGGTATCCCCATCCTCACTCTTCCCACTAAGCACAGAGTCCACTGCTTTTCATTTGGATCAAGGGATTCCCTGGGGGTGAGATGCACAGGATTGTCTATGAGTGGGGGCAAATGAAGAGGGAGGTAAAAATGGACAGAGGTAAGGAGGAGGGGTCAGGAAGGAGTTGAGAGATTCTTCTTCTTGCTAAACCCCTCCTTCTCATTTACCTTCTTTATGAAGAGAAGTCACTCTCAAAGAGAAGGGGCTAGAAAAGAAAGGAAAACTGCCCCTGGCTCACCTCCTCCACCTTGGCCTTCAGGCCTGCATCCCAGAGCCCCTGTAAACACTATCTCAGAGCCCCGGCCCCAGCCTGGCTCAGCCATGGTGCTTGCTGGGACTCTCATGCCCACCCCAATCCCAGGCATGTGAGCCCTTACCTGCCCACCCCAACCCCAGGCACGTGAGCCCTCACCAGGAGAAGGGAGGCAGGGAAGACTTGCTTTCATTGAGTTGTTGGTGAGAAAATTTGCTGCCCGGATGACAGTAAGTGCCGGGAGCCACACCGGCCTCTCTGGATGGCAGTCACAGCAAGGAAGTGGCAATGTTTGCACAGCTTCTGCCATGAGAAATGAAGACTAGTATCTCCTTCTGCTACTACTGGCTCATGCTGGAAATGAGCCTGCTGGTATTGACCAGGCCTCACAATATTCCATATCAGACCCATATTCTGAATACAGATACCTCATAAGGAAAAGCATATTCCTGCCTTTACAAAAGAGACTTTAGATGAAAGCTCTATGGACGATTGTCAAAAGGCTCTTCCTATGGGCCTTGCAGATCCAAGACTTAAGGGGTTAAGAACACAAGAGTTACAATTGAGCCTGGCCCTGAGACAAAGAGCCTATTTCAGGGCAGAACATAAGTTACTACATATATCTTTGCTAATTGGTGAAGCATGGCAGTCCCTTCCTCAAGGCCTGCATTCCACAAACCCCCTCCCTTACACTGGCAGCTGGGATGAGGATAGATAAGAGTAGCTAAAACATAAACCCAGGTGCAAAGACTGACAATTTAGGGCCCCCGTGGTAGTTCCCACAAATAAACCAATTCAGAAACATTTATCTTCTTGAGGGCCAGACAGAATAACTCCTAGCTTATCTATATACAATTTAACTTGTATGTTATGCTGTTTTTCACTATGAACATTCTGTTAATTGATATCACAAAAGGCCTCCCATTGTAAGAAATTCCTTTCTATGACTTCATCTTGTTGCTGAACCTTAAAATAAAGATACCAAAACCGACAGGACAGAGATGCCCGCCTGGTGATCAGAAAGAATCTCGGGGCTCTCTCATTCTCTTTCGCTGACACCGTCCATCCTTCAGGGACCCCTGGACCTGTCGGAGCCGGCGCGGCCTCCGACAAGTAAGGAGAGAGAAAGACAGAGGAAGGAAACAAAGAAAGAAAAAGGAAGGAGGGAGGGAGGGTGGGCAGATGGAAATAAGAAAGGGAGAGAGAAGAGATGGAGACAAGCAGGAAAGGCAAGCAGATGGGCAAAGGAAAGGGAAGAAGAATGGCGACCTCTCTCTCCCTGCCCCCCAAGCGGCCCTAAGGATGTAAGCCTTCTTCCTCGAGCCATTATGGAGAGCAGTCATTGCACTATGTAGGCTGTATCTTAACAGGAGGAAGAGGAAATAAAAGGTTTAACACCCAACTGACAGAGGCCAGGTGTGTAATGGAGCCCCCCCCAATGGGTCACAGAGGCTCTCTCTGATGGGGGTCACAGCCAAATCCCTGCAGGGCCACACTGGTAAAGCCACAGTGAAGCCAGCCTGGGAGTGGCCCTGGTGCCTGAGGAACACAAGCCACCGCTTGGCTCCAGGCAATTCCATTCTTACCAGCTGAAAAGTAAGAAAAACTAACTTAGGGTGATTGGATGTGAAAAGAGTGTTTCCTTAAAGGGGTAATATTCACTGAGAAGGGGTATGAGGGAGCCTTGTGGGGCTGACAGTCTTTTATATTACATCTTGATATGAGTGGTAATTATTTGTGTGTGTGTGTGTGTAAAAATTCATGAGGCTGTGCACAGAAGACATGCCATTTATCATATATTCCAGAAAAATCAATAACATACAAAATAAATGTATTTTCATTTTTATTTTTTTTATTTTTTATTTTTTTATTTATTTCTAGGAGAGAGAGACAGAGACAGAGTGAGTACGGGAGGGTCAGAGAGAGAGGGAGTCACAGACTGAAACAGGCTCCAGGCTCTGAGCTGGCAGTCAGCACAGAGCCCGACGCGGGGCCCGAACCCACGAACCGCGAGATCATGACCTAAGCAAAAGTCGGACGCTTAACCGACTAAGCCACCCAGGCGCCCCTGTATTTTCATTTTTAAAGTCAACCTATTTAATCCACATGTCGTAGGGAAGAGCAATTCCAGTGTTCCCCAGATGTTGTAAGAACCAGAAAGGCGGGGTCCTTTCCTGCAGGATACTGGAGAAATCCTGTGGTGGGTCAGCAGCCTCTAACACAAGCCCTACTGGTGGGGGGGGGGGGGGGCGGGGGGGGGGGGGAAGCGAGAGACCTTGTTTCTCAGAGCATGGCCTGCGGCCAGCAGTTTAGGCATTACCCGGGCCCTTATCAGACATGCAGCGTCCTGTGTCTCAGCCCAGACCCCACCAAAATATCAACCCGCATTTTAACAAGATTTCCAGGTGATTCATATGCCCTGACTGGAAAATAGAATCCCTGATAGTGACAACAGAAGACTGTCTCACAGGCTTCTAGTTTACCTTCTTAATTAATTGTAACCTTCCTGAGGACACTGTGAAGTAGAGATGGAGAGCTATCTCCTAGCTGAGTACCTTTGGAAAGTTACTTAGATTCCTTTAAGCCTTACAATATGAAGTAAGAATAATAATATTATTATTAATACCTATTTCATGAGTGTTGTGAAGGTTAAATTAAATAATGTATGTAAATTGCTTAATATATTGCTAAATACAAGGGTACCTGGGTGGCTCAGTCAGTTAACCATCCAACTCTCGATTTCAGCTCAGGTCAATGTCTCACTGTCTGTGAGTTCGAGCTCTGCATCAGGCTCTGCACTGACAACAAGGAGCCTGTTTGGGATACTCTCTCTCTTCCTCTCCCTGTCTCTCTACCCTTCCCCTGCTTGTGCATGCATATGCTCTCTTTCTCTCTCTCAAAATAGATAAACTTAAATATATATACATATATATGCTAAATACATAGTATATATATATATATATACATATATATATAGTGCTAAATACATAGTAAAAGAAGAAGTGTTAGCTATTAGTATCACCTTCATCCATGGTACACGAGGTGAAGGACATTTATTCATTTATGAACAAATGTTCATTGCATGCCTACTACATCTCAGGTATTATTTTAAGCCCTGAGGCTGCAACTCTGAATAAAACAAACAAAAACTTCCCCTCCTTATAAAAACATTTTTTTAAGCCCTGCCTTGTTGGGGTTTTTGTTCTAGTGTGAAAGGAGGTGATCGTGCAGCCGAGGAGAGTGTGAACAGAAGGAAATGGGCCACTCTTGGGAGATCTCCCGATTGAGTTCTATGTACCTGGCATCGCTGTGGCCACTGTGAGTGAGTGGGGTGTGCCACGGTCTTTTCACACCTGCCCTGGGAAGAGCCTACACCAATGAGAGAGAAAATGTAGCGCTTGCAAATCCCTTCCTTGAAACTCTTTAAAGAAATTCTTGTCCATTTGATATTTGTGCCTCTGTAAATAAATTGGGAAGAAACATCTCCATTTGCACTTCCAGTAAAGAAAAATTACGCCAGGATGTCACATGGGTCCATGATTTCTGCTTCCGGGGAGGTGATAGCGGGGGTCACTCTCCTCCACTTTTGGCTGGAACAGTTGCCCAGTCGGGCACAGGGACCCTGTCCCCAGGCTCTCTCTAAATGAGCCACACCTGCCCTGGGG